TGTTCCCGCTTGATTTTGAAACTGCCAGTCTTGGTGGACTGTCAACTCAAAAGATTACATGTCCTCCCTAATTTTTGTTAGTCCCAACTTTCAATAAATAAAAAATGTACAAACTTTACCTGGTTTTAATTCCCTCAACATGTTCAATACAATGATGTCATCTCTATAGTAACAAACTTAGATCTACAAGTCATTCATACAAAGTTCAGTCACACTTTTCTCTTTCTTTTTTGAATATTTCGAGACAAAGTCGCTACACATATTTAACCTCGAAGCAAGGCAAAATGTTATTTCCTTCCACTAATAGTTGACAAGGGGAAACCCTGATGGTAACAGACAAGCTGACTTTGTTCGGAAAAATTTAAATGTTGCTTATGTTTTGTTCAACAACAAAGATTTTTATAAGGTACTAACTATATTTGCTGCTCAACAGGGACTGGCAGTCACATGAATTACCGGTCCAAGCCTAATTTGATCTGTAAAAACCTGGTAATTACCGGTAAATGGGAACACTGATATTGTTCTAGGTTCTACTACACCAAATCAGTACCATTTTGGACAGTGCGGTTTTCGTAGGGAGCCTTCAGTGCAGATCGAGAGATATCTGCAGGCTGTGATTGGAGGATATTCTGTAAGATTTTTATGTCTTTCAAATGTACATCCATCCAGTTAGTAAAACTGACCATGTTTTTCTATATTTAGTACTGTCTTTTTCAACATGATGACTTATGCTGAATGTGACCACAGCTATTTTCAAGTAGGTGACATTTGGTGCGAAACTGGGGGTGTTGTGTTTAGCTTCCGGTACTCGGAAAAGGAGCTGACTAAGCTAGTCATTTTTTATTTTTTTATTGCTGCTCTAAGGCCAAACTGTGCACACACATACAGGTAATAGCTGTTGAATGCTTAGTTATTTAAAAAAAAAATATAACGTTACTATAGAAGTCTATGGGAAAACATTTGGTTGTGTGTAACCTGTAGGGTGAGTGCACATTTCAGTAATTCATACTTTACATGCTTTCCTATTTATATTTCACCATGGATACACCATGGAGGCAAATTTAAAAATAATGACATTGAAGTTGGGGACATTTTTGGTTGAATGGAGCATTTGGATGGCCTGGAAATGAATGTTGCTTCGTATTGTGGTCGAACTCAGCACGAACCCCCCAGGGTACCTCTGTCCAACAAGCCCTCCTCCTGCCTTCTGAATTTGTTGAAACTGATGAATTTGACAACAAATTAGGATAAAGTCACCACTGCCACAACAATTTCTGCCTTGTGTAAATCGCTTGCCAGTCAAGTTACGCGATGCCGTTATCTTGAGTATGAAGCATGTACACTGCTGACAGCAGAATATGTCACAAATCCCCTTATTTATAGTAAACAATGTAGCATACCAATATATCTTTCTATTAGGTGATTTTGTGTGAATGAAAGATGCTATTTTTCTGTTAAGTTTCTTAAAACAGACTTATTTTTCACACATATGACTTTCAAATCATTATTTTGCCCCTCAAGAACTGACTCCTGGCTGTTATATCCAAACTGGTTTGCCATTTGATATTGTCTGAACACATTTTTCAGCTTTTAGCATGCCTGATGTTGACTGGGGAGGTATATGTGCACTCATGCAGAAGAAGTAGAAGTTTTCACATCCAATTTGGCATTTGTAGAAGCTGATCCGAAGTCTGGTGTTGGCAGTGTGTGATCGACAACCCTTGTTTTGCCTCGCTGCGCTCTATTACCTTGTAGAAGTTGTGGAACTTGGACATGTAGGTACAGTAAGTACATTTAAGAACCCCAGTCCACTTGAGGCCCCTCTGTTGCTCACTATCAAGTGCCATAATAAGATCACCCTCATGCACTAGACATTTCTGACAGTGCTCCCTTAATGCCTCACTGTGCAGTTTTTTAGTTTGCAAACATGAAGTAAGGGCTTTACACCAGTCCCAGAACCTGCTTAGATGAAAATAATATCCACTGGCTCTTTGGAATGTAACATTATGGTTCTGAAATCATCTGTAAAGAATGTGATAGTGTTCGACAAAACTAAATTATCTCCCCTGTTTAGTAAAATGCATTGTATCTTTCATTCCCCTATAAACCCATAAATTATTGGAGAGAAACACTATTTTAAGCTGGTATTGCATGACACTGTTAATTGTGAATAAAAGGAATTACATTTATGTCAGGATAAGCTGTACATTTTCAAAATTATATGGAATTTTAACTTTGTTTCATTGAAACTGGCAAATAACTGAAATAAGCAAGTTTAGCCACCTTGAAACATTAAACAGTAAGAATGTTTGATGTCCTGTGAGTATTTTAAAGTCTTAACTAAATAAATCAATAGAGTTAAGTGTAATTTCCTTCCATGTTGTGGTTTCAAAAAGCTTTTTTCTACTTGAGGGTCCATTTCCATTTCTCGGCTTTAATAGGCGAATGGTTCACTGGTCAGTGTTTGAGATTGCTGTTAACAATGCACCCCTTTACTTCCTATTTTTTGGTAAAGTTCATTATCCAGCCTTACATATATGATGACTTTAAAGCTGCTTAATGTGTCCCTTGCTTATTGTTGGCCTGAATTCCCTGCTCTCTGTCCAATTTTGAGATTTTTTTCTGATTCCTTTCCATGTGTACTTATGTCACCAGCCTATATCATGGGTGATTATACTTTTGATTTTTGGAGTATATGAAAGCACAAACATTTGTGATAGCCCCTCCATAGATGATTTACCAAATGCTGACAGCCATTTGAGTATTTGATTATATAAACAATGGATGGTGTAAGTTTGAGCAATCTCAAACAATATCAATCGCATCATGTCATGAGCGTCAAAACCATATTCCATGAATGTAGCAGACTCTGCTATGTTCTGATGATGTCAGCAAAGGAAGGCAAACAACAGACCCTACTCAATTTTAAATATGTATTGTAACTGGTTTCGAGGTTTAAAGATTTGTTCAATTTTTTTAATCGAAAAAATATTTTAGGGTGATATGATCTATGCAGCCTCAATCATTTATGGAATTTACCCCTGACCCCCATCTTTTATGAAATATGAATGAACTCCCATGGTCAGTGCATAAACTTCTTTATTAATACAGAAATATCTTTTGTAAAACATTGATGAAGTGTACATCATTAAACTCTCACAACTCTTTCTGTGCATCAAAACTATGTATTCTGGTGCCATATAGACATGCTGGATAGGAACAAGTAGTGAAGTTTAATCCAATTTCCATTTTTTTTCTGAGAAGCTACATATATATATACAATACATAAATCACAGATTTGACAAGTGCAAATATATTCTGATTTGTCAACAAGGGCATCCAGATTTAATCTTTCCAGTGTCAGTTCGTGATTTTGTGGTACAACTATTCCCAATTTAACTACAAATAATCATTTTTTTTGTTTTTTATTGTTTATGAAATGAAGTACCTGTTACATAAAATGGGCTTCCGCCCAGGGCAGCAGAAAGACATGACATGTAGCACAACTTATCAGTACATCTTAGATTTATATGGAAAATAACATACTTCTTACTCACACATTCACTTTAGTAATACAATCATACTGCATACATTAACTATTAAATCTTGTATATCATATTGCAGTGCAGGAAAGTACATGGTCTCAAATATTACATTCTTAAGTATAAAACTGAAATTAAAATGAAAGCTACTACTGGTTTTCGAAAAGTTTAACAAGTGGGTAATTGTTTCCTTTTCTTTGTGACAGAAGGAGTACTCATCATTTTAATTAAGTACACACAGAAAAGAATTAGTAGTGAGAATTCTGTGGGTAAGTTTGTATTGAAATCAACACTGTTTTACATCCTGTTTTGTACTAAATATTTTATTACAGATATTGTTCCAATTTCAGTTTTCAAATTGTAACTCCCACTTTTCCTGCCCTTTAGTTTTTACTTCTGTAGCAAGGGGGCTCAGGTAGGGTGAATATTTTTTCATATGTAAAATCTCTTAAAGCCACATGAATAAGGAAACTTGTGTCCCCAGGTGCACCTATTTCAATCTACACATCCTTATATCTGTAACATTTTTTGAGAGAAAGTAATGTGTTTTGGAAAAGTTGGTCATTTATAGTGTTTCATGAAAAAATCAAGCCAGAATCTTTCAGTAGTTTTTTAACTGAAGCAGTTTTTCATTACCCTAATATTAAATGTAGCGCCAAGAAACACAGTGTGAATCTCTCACCGTCAGTTTATTCATGTTTTCTAATTCTCATCGTTGCAGAGTTACCGTTAGCATTATCAAATACCTACGTTGATGATGAGGAGGTTCAGAAAACTACAAAAAGAAACAAAACACTTGCTCAGTTTTCAACACAAACCTGAACCATTCAAAGTATACAAATATTCAAATTCAAAGTTGCATCATAATAATTACTTAAATGAAATGTTTCTGCTTAGATCATTTGTACATAAAGACAATGTAAAGATGAGAGAACAAAACTCACATCTGTGTTCTGCCATAAACCATGTCTTTGTTTTAGCCCCTTAAGACAGGGTAACAACAAGTACCATTGTTTAACATTGTTTGGTATGCTGCGAACGGGGATTGAACCCCGGACCTTCCGCTCACTGGGTGAACGCTAGACCATGGGTGAACGCTAGACCATGGAGTCAGTCACTTAACCAAGGACACTTGTGGACTTTAAAATATTTTAAAATATCATAAATAACTGATACTTTTAATAATGTGAAACGTTAGACTGCTCGTACATTAAAATTATTTGTTTCTGGAAATATTGGATAAGGGTATCCCCAAATTATAAACTTGGTCAAGGCAGATAAGAAGTTTCTATCATAAAAGGAATGTAATGAAATTTATGATATCTGTTCATCCTATTTATAATTTTAACTATTTGTAGTTCCAAGTCATGAAAGCATATTTATTGTTCATTTGTTTCTATAGATTTATATAATTTTCACTACTATTTTGCCTTATTTGCTCAATGGAATCTGTTTCAGGGAATATTCAAGACTGGCTATTCTCTGGCATTGACATTTTATATTAACTGTTGGTCATGAAGCAGTAGGATCACCAGTGCAGTTTCTGATTTGCATGTACAATGTATCCTGTGTATCCTGTGTTCAACAAAGTGTTCAATTCCATTCAGGATGGACAATAAAACACTTAAAAAGTACAGAAGATGGTGCTGTGAGTGGCAGTGGTGAGTGTTGTCTAGGACGGGCTATCAGAGGAGTTATGGGGGTGTCAAATATGGCCAGGTTAAAGTTAAATTAACCGCAAACGGCAAATGGAGAACTGTTCATGTTCATGAGATAGTCTACATGATAGCTACCAGCCAATTGAGTTAAGGTGCAGTGTCTCCCATCTCTGTGGGAACACCTGTGGTGTAGGGGGCACCTGTTACTGGAGAACCACCCCATGAAGGTCCTGCATGGACAGTGGTGGGGTGCCAAGATGTTTGGTGACCCTCAGACTGTGACAAGGCTTGTTTTTATTTGATGGCTAACAGATCTCTGACTAACTGAGAAGTGGAAATACAAACAAGATTATTATATTTGTCATAACATCATTTCGGTGAGTTGGTGAAGTAGACAGAAAATGATGATAATTTGACTTAGGCTGCAGAATGTGTCTATGTTTGCAGGTCATGTAAACATGCATTTAACTTTTGTCAGGAAGCTTCTTCTTTTTATCTGGTGTTATCAGTGGCCAAAGATTTTACATTTAGTACTAACTACTAAATGACTTTATCGCGCGTATCCAAACCATGGGCTAATTACATCTGTAACCCAATCACCCCTCGTAACTCAATCACCCCGCGGTCACCACTCGGCACCGTGCCCGGGGAATAATCCCGCGCAAGCATCATCCCGCCCTTTGTTAGTCCGTCATTCGCGAACAGCCCTTCCCCAAGTACACACGTGTGTCACTGTATCTAATCGCTTTCGCTTTGTACGTTTCCTTTGTACCCAGTCGCGACCGTTTCGCGGATTACGCTTTGAATACCATCTATTCCAACACTCGCCGTATCGCATTTACACAATTGCGACCGTTTCGCGGATTACGCTTTGAATACCATCTATTTCAGCACTCGCCGTATCGCATTTATTCAGTTCTACTCCCGAACTTCACCCTCGGGACAATTTTACGCTTGTGGAATACCAACTCACCACCTCGACCTTTCGTGATGCCTCCCAAGAGAAGAGCAGCCGTCAACCACAAGCTTGTGAGGGGAGCCAAGCAGGCCAGGACAACCAGAAGACAAACCCCGGGAGTACACATTGTACAGGAGGCAACAGCTGATGGTGAGTCTGCCAATTACAGAAATATCGAAGGTGGCAACAGAATTAACGTGCAATCAGCGCAGCTTGTAAATGCCGCGCAGGCTGCCAACTCAGCTACCCAGGTAAACGAGCAACTGGAAAAAATACTCCAGTTGCTGGAACATTCAGCGCCCGGCCCGGTTAGCGCAAACCAACAGGTAAGGCTTGGTTTTAGTTCTCCCGCCATTTCGCCCAACATAGGAAGAATCCCCGATGCTCACAACGAGGCCAACGGTGACGCGGCTTGGCCAGCCAATCACATCGCAGGATACGGGGATTCCCTTTCCTTCCGTGCGGATGGAATAGACGCGCACGTCAAACAACAGGTGAGGGAAATAATCTGGCGTGGCGAGTATGTCGACCTCGGCACAATCCTACCAAACACCGAGGGAAGTCACGAGGACGGTACGATTACCATGGCGTACGACTCCTCAGGTAAGGTAATTTTTAAACCAATAAAGCAGCAACCAAAGCGCCTGTCCCTGGCAAGCTGGACTTCAGCTTTCCACATTTTCATGTGTATATATGTTAGTAGGCACTCCGAGGTCCGCACAACCCAAGGATTGCTGTCCTACATGGAAACCATAAGAACGGCGGCACTTCGATTCGGGGGGGATGCCTGGTCAACCTACGACCAACAATTCCGACACAGAATGTCAAGGGACCCCTCACGACGCTGCGACAACATCGACGGGGAGTTGTGGCTGAAGTACATGGTAACACAGCCGGTACTACAACCAGAATCAGGCGGACGGGGCGCAACGACACGCGTACAGGGGGACATCGCCAGTCAGGTATGCTGGGATTTCAATAAATTTGGCTGTAGCAGGGTCAACTGTAAGTACACTCACAAATGCGGTAAGTGTGGCAAACATTCCCATAGCTCTAGGACCTGCTTTCGAGGGAATGGGGTCCAACCGACCCCATACAAGCCCAATCAGCCTTTTCCTAACAGAAACCAGCCGTCAAGGCAGGTAAATTCAATGGCCCCTTCCCCCGTGGATCTCAATGAAATGGCACCCTGGTTACGCCAATATGCTAGGGTCAATTACAGAGATGCAAATTATTTATGGGTAGGTTTTAGCTTTGGCTTTAAGCTCAAGTTCCAGGGAAGCTGCACGGGTCGCCTGGCACGAAACCTGTGATCAGCCACGCACCAAGACACGGCAGGCTACGTGAAACAAAAAAGTACAAAAGGAAGTCGACCTTGGCAGTATGGCGGGCCCCTTCAAGGACACCCCCCTAGACAACCTCCAAGTATCACCAATAGGCCTGGTGCCCAAGAAGCAGCCAGGATATGGTCAGCACCTGGGTAAGCATGCGGAGGAATTCCGTCTAATTCACCATCTATCCTATCCCAGGGGTAAATCTATGAATGACTTCATACACACAGAGGCCTGCTCCGTTGTGTACGCCAGATTTGATGAAGCTACCCATATGGTTCAACAACTGGGAAAGGGAGCACTATTTGCAAAATTCGACATTCAGTCGGCCTTTAGAATTATACCAGTCCACCCATCCGATTTCGAGCTGCTAGACATCAGATTCGAAGGTGAGTTCTATTTCGATAAATGCTTACCATTTGGCTGCTCCATATCTTGCGCCATATTTGAAACGTTAAGTACCTTCTTGCAATGGTGCATGCAATTGTATCTTCCAACGTGTCCGATCATGCATTACCTGGATGACTTCCTAACGGGGGGCACAGCAGGCACCAGCCACTGCTCAGACAACCTCAACGGATGCGTGAATACAGCTTGGGGTTCCTATTGCGCACGACAAGACGGTGGGACCCACAACCAAACTGACATTCCTAGGGCTGGAAATCGACACCATTGCAATGCAGATCAGAATCCCAGAGTCCAAGATCAAGGAGGCAACAAGGGAAATCCAAGACATCCTGTCAACAGGTAACATCAAGGTCACAAAAAGGGCCCTTCAGTCCCTCATAGGCAAGCTTAACTTTATGTGCAGGGCTATACCAATGGCAAGGGCATTCAGCCGCAGGCTAATCGATCTGCTTAGCAAAGGTAAGCAACCATTTCACCACATTAGGATTACCAGCTGGGTCAAGGAAGACCTACAAATGTGGTTAACATTTCTTACGAGTTATAAAGGCATTTCAGTGTTTCAGGACCAACTATGGGTGGACAGCGATTTCCTCCAGCTGTGGATATAATATTATGTTTAAGGCAAAGTATGTATGTTCCACTGCTAACACTATTGCCGATGCTCTCACGAGGTTTCAGCTCAAACGCTTCCGAGAGGCAGCACCAGCCGCGGACCAGAACCCCACACCTATCCCGTGCAACATATGGCTGATCTGAGGCAGGAGGCCGGCAGACTCCTACAACAATCTCTGTCTACTAATACATGGGCCACTTACCAAACAGGCATCAATGCCTTGCACCAGTTCCGGTCCGCACACCAGCTACAAGAGGTGTGGCCAGTCCTGCTGGATCAGGTCGTAAACTTTATTGCTTATCTGTCAGTCACTCACCACTCCCCTAACACAGTCAAGACTTACATGGCAGCGCTGTCTTCACACCACAAATTCCACGGGCTCACCGACTGTACAACCATTTCCTGGTAGGCAAGATTTTAACCGGCTTACACAAATCAGCGGGCCGACCAGACACCAGAAAACCGATCACTGCAGATCTGCTGCAGGTAGTAACCAACAATCTGCCTCACGTATGCTCATCAGCATATGAAGCCAGGCTGTTCAAGGCAGTCTACTGCACAGCCTTCTTCGGTTTCTTTAGGGTTAGCGAACTGGTCCAAACTGGACCTTCAAAAACAGGTTGCGCCATCCAGAATTTAAGCTTCTCGGGCAACCCCCAGCAGCTTTCAATCCATTTACCACACTCAAAGTCTGATCAGTACAGGATGGGGACAACAGTTACAATGTCATCTATACCAGGTAATCCGCTATGTCCGGTAGTCGCCATCAAGCACTACCTGGAGGCGCGCCCCTCCGGCCCACAACATGCATTCGTTCACTTCGAACATTCCCCCGTTACAAGGTACCAATTCCAGGCACTCCTAAAAAAGGCCTTAGCACACAGCAACATAAACACAGCCTGCTATTCTTCGCACTCCTTCCGCATTAGGGCAGCCACATCAGCAGCCATGAACGGGGTGCCCGAACACCTCATACAACAATACGGCAGGTGGAAATCAGATTGCTACAATGCTTACATACGCTTACCAACAAATTCAATGTTGCACAATTAATTCAAATAGTCTTTCATGGTACTTACTACACTTCTTGTTGGTTACAGTTTGGATGGTGGGATCCAGCTACATGGCCAGGGCACGGCAGTACTTGCTCCTGAAGGGCACCAGTCCGAACCAACCGAGGATGCTATGGCTGGCACGAGGGGGAATGAGGTGGAAGGAGCTGGACACCATTCTGGATGCACAGGTCAAGGCGACACGGCGCAGCCCGAGAGCCCTCATCATTCACCTGGGCTCCAACGACCTGTGCTCGGTCAAGGTCAGCCAACTCTACCTTGACATGGTGGCATCAATCCTTCGGATACAACTCCAGCTTCCTGACACCAAGATCATCGTATCCTCAATGCTGCCCAGGCGCTACTGGCACGATGCCAGGGACCCACTAAAGATCGAGGGGATGCGGAAGAATATCAACCGCCGACTGGCCAACCGAGTCAAAGAGCTCAGCGGTACAATGGTGCCACATCCCCAGATCCTGGCATCAGACAAGACATGGTACGCCTGGGAGGGCGTCCACCTCAATGACAAAGGACTGTGTGTGTTTACGGACAATTTATTGCATGCCCTGGCGCTTGTTTTGCGTCAGTAAGGATGTTATCTCCACAGGTTAGTGTTTCCTTTCAGTACATAGGCAAGCCGGGCAACAATGCTATCTCCGCGTATCGCGTGGCCGTGGGTGTGGGGTAGCACTCTGGTGCTTTGTGGCGGGGTTCTTGTGGGCTACACTGCTAGTAACAAATTAACTTGCTTCCAAATTAATACTCGTGCTTAAGGCTACCTACTTTTCAGCGGGAACCTTTCCAGGCTTACCTGCTTCTCAGTGGGAACCTTGTCTTTCCCGACTTTTCAGCCGGGGAATCGTAAAATAACATACGTTGGGGCAAACAATTGCCACGTAGTACCGGCGGCGAAGGTCGTCTTGTCAAGCGGTAGCTAACAGTTGGGTCTGCGGCGTGGGAGCCGCACAATGGTTTTGCTAATGGGGCCGGGCAGTGGGATCTGCTTTGGCCGGCTACCTGGGGCCGGGCAGCGGTAGTCTGACTTAGGCCAGCAGCGTGGAGCTGCTTTTGACAGCGTGGGAGTTGTCAAGCAATGGTAGCATTTAAATATAGCTACCGTGGGGGCCGGACAGCAGTAGCAGTCTCAGGCCAGCAGCGCTAGCTGCAATCGCCGTTGGCCTCGCGGTGGCCATGGCAACGGTAGCATTTTGGTATACACAATTAGCAGCTAAGTAGCCCACAAGTACCTGCACACCCTCGGCCATTTAACCCAATTTCATCTTCTGTTTTTATTATAGGCACGGGCATCCACGGCTCGGTGGCCCGTGCCTCTCCTTGGCATATCGCGGGATAAATATACATTATTCATGACAAAAACAAAGACCGGTAAATTACGATACAACAAGTGTACTTATATTATGTTTTCTGTTTGTGGCTTCTGACTTTAGCCTGGAGATGTTTAATTGTGTTACTGTGGTTACATGAAGTGGGAGATCTGTAAACCAATAAATTAAAGTGTTGCCAAATCTTCATGTAAGTGTGTTACCTTCGTTATGTTACATTTGTTTATGATTTCACCCACATTAGTGTAGAACCAATATAGTGTGGTATTTCTTAATTACTGATGCTCAGTCAAATGTTCAAATCGTGTCAGATCCAGCATGTCTCAAACATGAATGGCAGTTAAGTTCATGTCTAGCCTCTTTTGATCACCGGTATGATCAGGGAGAGGTTTTGTAGTTTGTAACTCTCTGAACCCAAACATGACTTGAGTAGTGCAGATGATGGGAGTACGGCCTTCCCCTCCCCGGACCAGGTCCAGCTCCTGTTAAGTAAAACCTTAGCAGTTGCTACATTTTACAAGCCAAACATGATGATCCAGTAATGGACATCACATAATTGATAAAACTTAAGACCTCCATGGAACCATTGTCAGAATCTGGACCAGGTCCAGGGCGGGTCGAGGCCGTACCGCCATCGTCTCTACTACTGCTTGTATTACGCTGGGAGACTGCAAAAGGAGAGAGTGAGTGAATATTGTTTTCCATATTGTTAGTGATATTCCAGCAATATCAGGGAGTGGACACACACAATGGGTTCACACATAGTACCCATGTGAGAATCGAACCAGGGCCTTCGGGTGACAAGCGAATGCTTCAACCACTAGGTTACCACCCATTTAAAGAAAGAAAGATAGGCAAGGCATGGTCTGAGATGTGTGTCATTATCGCATATGGACATGAGATGTGTGTCAGTGTTGTATATGGACATTAGACATACGTGTGTCAGTATATTTGATAGTATGCCACACACTTAATACTCATGGAAATGAAAAAAAACTGTTTTGCTGGATTTAATAATCGACACAAAGCATTACATAGATGTAAATACGAAATAACAAAACAAGTGGAAAAGTACTAGTCTGGATTTGCTAGTTTTATCTCAGTGCTCAATACAAAATGTACTTTACAGAAGGTAATTTGTAGGCACTTTCAACATTCAAAAATAAAACTAAGTCCAAATTGACATGGCAGAAACAGGCTATAGGCATTATGCAAATTAGCATGGAAATAAGTTACCACAACAACAATAAAAATAACAGATATGTTTATGTACATAATAATAATGACATGTAAGTTGTTGTTTGAGAAGGCAATATGTTACTTTTACGCTCTGATATTTTGACGATGATTCACTATCCCACTCACAAATCACTAACCACTGACAAATCACATGCACGTGGGTTTCAAGCACCTGTTTTCACCTGTCGTCAAGGTGTCATAGGTCATGGCCATTCACCTTGATCTACTAACACCTGGTTATGCTCAGTTTCAAAATAGTCTGTTTTTCAGTTTCACAATAGTCTGTTTTGTTCATATTTTTACACACTTTTACGTGTAAAAAGACATAAAAACCTTTGATACGCTGTATTTGTGCCAAGGCCCAATTAGTACTAATTGAGTTGTTTGAATATTTATATATTTTGTATAATAACTGCATTTATTTAAAATCTGAGATAAAAAACCAGTTTTTTTTGCATTTCCGTGAGTACAGACACCATTCACCATTGTTACTCACAGCTGTTATTGTGTTGTAGGAGGAGTATTTGCAGCAACAGAGATATGAGGATTATGTTACTGGATGCAGTATGAGGTTTATTCCTCCTATAATGGGTACGGTCCACTGATGTACTTAGGATTTCTTTAAGGGACTGAAAATGAATTAAATATTCACAATAATTGATGACAGCAACAGCAGCATTTTCCATAGCCTCAGCTGTGGGTGTAAGAAAGGGTATCAGTAAATGAGTGAGTGAGTTGGGTTTAACCCCTCTTTGAACAGAATTCCAGTTATATCACCCTTGTGTCAGATTAATGTGGGAGGAGACCCAGAAGTGATGCAAGTACCCAGACAAATAGTAGCATTATCCGCATCCTCTGACAGGTAACGATTGATGAAACCATATATGCATCACAATAAATAGTCCGTGGTCCAGTTATGTCAGTGCACTTAGTGCAAATATCAATATCAACAACCATAATAAAATTTAAAACCCCCAATTAATTTACTATGCATATGTTTTGGTCCAGACTAAACCATGCTTGTGGGTATGGACATGGATTCAGATAAGAAATTCAGTGTTTAGCCTTGATGAGTGCCCATCCACCTCACAACACACTCAGTTAACCTCCATTTACCATCTTGGCAGTACATTATTAACTCCACATGGTTGAACATGATATTTATTGTCAAACTTGGAAATCAGAACTTCAGCACTCTAGGATTTTAATGGTAGATGTTTTTTGTTTTTTTATCAAGTTGTGAGAGTGATGCCGCTTTGTTGATGTGACGCAGTTGTTAATATAGACTGTCAACAGGATGGAAAGGCTATTTTAGATCATCATTGAGTCCCCATGTGGATTTATGACAAACTAATAGCGTTCACGTTTCACGTTTTTGGAAGTCAGGTCGTCCTCGAACGGGCCCCCTTGCGCCCCGAGGACATTGTTAAAAAAGGTCAAGGCGGCTTCTGAGGTGGTTGGAGGGTCAAGGTCGACCCGCCTGGCGAGTTTCAAGTCCTTACGAAAATTTTCACTTTTGACCCCAGACGAGACCCTGGGCTATAGCCTTAGGTGATTTTCCGACCAAAAAAAAAAAAATTTCGGATGGGTCTCAGACCTTGCCAAAGGATGCTTTAGGTCATCTGAGCGGCCCGTAGCCGCTCGTTTTTCGATTTTGAGCAAGCCACGTCGGCCTGGAGACGGGCTCCCTAGCGCCTGGAGAGACAGGTGGTGGGAAAGGTCAGGGTCGGCTTCCAAGGAGACAAAGGTGGTGGAAAAGGTCAAGGGCGGCTTCCCAGGTGGTCGGAGGGTCAGGGTCGACCCGCCTGGCGAGTTTCAAGTCCTTACGAAAATATTTAAATTTCACGTTTTTGGAAGTCAGGTCGTCCTCGAACGGGCCCCCTTGCGCCCCGAGGACATTGTTAAAAAAGGTCAAGGCGGCTTCTGAGGTGGTTGGAGGGTCAAGGTCGACCCGCCTGGCGAGTTTCAAGTCCTTACGAAAATTTTCACTTTTGACCCCAGACGAGACCCTGGGCTATAGCCTTAGGTGATTTTCCGACCAAAAAAAAAAAAATTTCGGATGGGTCTCAGACCTTGCCAAAGGATGCTTTAGGTCATCTGAGCGGCCCGTAGCCGCTCGTTTTTCGATTTTGAGCAAGCCACGTCGGCCTGGAGACGGGCTCCCTAGCGCCTGGAGAGACAGGTGGTGGGAAAGGTCAGGGTCGGCTTCCAAGGAGACAAAGGTGGTGGAAAAGGTCAAGGGCGGCTTCCCAGGTGGTCGGAGGGTCAGGGTCGACCCGCCTGGCGAGTTTCAAGTCCTTACGAAAATATTTAAATTTCACGTTTTTGGAAGTCAGGTCGTCCTCGAACGGGCCCCCTTGCGCCCCGAGGACATTGTTAAAAAAGGTCAAGGCGGCTTCTGAGGTGGTTGGAGGGTCAAGGTCGACCCGCCTGGCGAGTTTCAAGTCCTTACGAAAATTTTCACTTTTGACCCCAGACGAGACCCTGGGCTATAGCCTTAGGTGATTTTCCGACCAAAAAAAAAAAAATTTCGGATGGGTCTCAGACCTTGCCAAAGGATGCTTTAGGTCATCTGAGCGGCCCGTAGCCGCTCGTTTTTCGATTTTGAGCAAGCCACGTCGGCCTGGAGACGGGCTCCCTAGCGCCTGGAGAGACAGGTGGTGGGAAAGGTCAGGGTCGGCTTCCAAGGAGACAAAGGTGGTGGAAAAGGTCAAGGGCGGCTTCCCAGGTGGTCGGAGGGTCAGGGTCGACCCGCCTGGCGAGTTTCAAGTCCTTACGAAAATATTTAAATTTCACGTTTTTGGAAGTCAGGTCGTCCTCGAACGGGCCCCCTTGCGCCCCGAGGACATTGTTAAAAAAGGTCAAGGCGGCTTCTGAGGTGGTTGGAGGGTCAAGGTCGACCCGCCTGGCGAGTTTCAAGTCCTTACGAAAATTTTCACTTTTGACCCCAGACGAGACCCTGGGCTATAGCCTTAGGTGATTTTCCGACCAAAAAAAAAAAAATTTCGGATGGGTCTCAGACCTTGCCAAAGGATGCTTTAGGTCATCTGAGCGGCCCGTAGCCGCTCGTTTTTCGATTTTGAGCAAGCCACGTCGGCCTGGAGACGGGCTCCCTAGCGCCTGGAGAGACAGGTGGTGGGAAAGGTCAGGGTCGGCTTCCAAGGAGACAAAGGTGGTGGAAAAGGTCAAGGGCGGCTTCCCAGGTGGTCGGAGGGTCAGGGTCGACCCGCCTGGCGAGTTTCAAGTCCTTACGAAAATATTTAAATTTCACGTTTTTGGAAGTCAGGTCGTCCTCGAACGGGCCCCCTTGCGCCCCGAGGACATTGTTAAAAAAGGTCAAGGCGGCTTCTGAGGTGGTTGGAGGGTCAAGGTCGACCCGCCTGGCGAGTTTCAAGTCCTTACGAAAATTTTCACTTTTGACCCCAGACGAGACCCTGGGCTATAGCCTTAGGTGATTTTCCGACCAAAAAAAAAAAAATTTCGGATGGGTCTCAGACCTTGCCAAAGGATGCTTTAGGTCATCTGAGCGGCCCGTAGCCGCTCGTTTTTCGATTTTGAGCAAGCCACGTCGGCCTGGAGACGGGCTCCCTAGCGCCTGGAGAGACAGGTGGTGGGAAAGGTCAGGGTCGGCTTCCAAGGAGACAAAGGTGGTGGAAAAGGTCAAGGGCGGCTTCCCAGGTGGTCGGAGGGTCAGGGTCGACCCGCCTGGCGAGTTTCAAGTCCTTACGAAAATATTTAAATTTCACGTTTTTGGAAGTCAGGTCGTCCTCGAACGGGCCCCCTTGCGCCCCGAGGACATTGTTAAAAAAGGTCAAGGCGGCTTCTGAGGTGGTTGGAGGGTCAAGGTCGACCCGCCTGGCGAGTTTCAAGTCCTTACGAAAATTTTCACTTTTGACCCCAGACGAGACCCTGGGCTATAGCCTTAGGTGATTTTCCGACCAAAAAAAAAAAAATTTCGGATGGGTCTCAGACCTTGCCAAAGGATGCTTTA